AGCACTTTGAAATCTTATAATATTTTACAATCTCACAATGTTTTGAACACGAGCCTTTTTTTAAAATTTTGCTTTACCTATTTTGAAGGTTCCATAGATGACATCTAAGAGGATTCCAGGAACAGCCAATCATAGAAATACAATCAATTGGGAGTACAATATAGGTAGTCCTCACTTAACAACCACAATTGGGACTGGAATTTAGGCTGCTAAGTGATGCAGTTGTAAAGCAAATCATCATGTGACCAGACCCGATTTTACGACCTTTTTTGCAGCAGTCGTTAAGCGAGTCACATGGTCATTAAGCAAATCATGCAGTCGTTAAGTGACTCGCGCGGTTCCCTATTGATTTTGCTTGCCAGAAACTGACTGGGAAGGTTCCAAATGGCAACCACATGACCTTGGGATGCTGCAACCATCATAAGTGCAAACTGGCTGCCAAGCACCCAGATCACAATCACATGACTGCAGGGGTTCTGCAATGGTCATAACTTCGGGCACCAGTTGTAAGTCACTTTTTTTAGTGCCATTATAACTTCGAATGGTCACTAAATGAACAGTCGTTAAGCAAGTACTACCTGTATAGCTCAGGGTAGCCCTGCATAAATTTAAAAGCATGATACCAATGACTGTTGATGACTCAAAAAGAGAACAGAATGCTGATTTTCTAACATGTTGGAAGACATAAATTCCTACTGCTTTCCCATGGCTCCTGTTCTTCTATAATCTCCCTGTTCTTTATTTCTAGTTCTCCCCAACTCATTCTGCACTGGAAGAGCTGGTCCAGGCATACTAGTCAGAGTAGGCAAGAAGTAATGCTTTAAACAAATCTCATGCAGCTATGAAATCACTCTAGAATCATCTGAGCAGAAACCTCAAGTGGGAAACTCAGATCATGACAAGATGCCATCAACCAGACTTTGATGGCTAAACTGAACCATCAGTTCTTACCAAGAGATTTCACATCAAGTTTTCCAGAGCCAAAGAACAACCAAAGACAGTATGAGATCTGACTGAAAGGTTACCACTCTTCACTTGCATAGTTATATTGAAACTTCAAACTCTGACTTCATCCCCTGATCCATTGTTTTAAAAAAAGAGGAGGGAATAATAAGGAATATCTTTAGACATTACAAAAGTATTCCAATATAACATATTTCTAAACCAAGATACTCCAATTTAAATGGATTATGAAGGTGCAAAGGAGAATAATACCACATAATATAACCACATAACAGAAAAGCTAAACATTTTCCACCTGATGTTCATGAGTTCACATGGGAATTTTAATGATGGGACATAGCAAAATATCCAATTAGGTCTCCTTAAATGTTTTGCTCACATGTTTTTCAGAGTAATCTATATTTCTTTAATACATGTTCCATCACCATGTAAAGCAGACTGGAGATCAAATGAAGAATACTCAACTTCAGAATTAATAATAGACATTGCTATGCAGGATTGAGAATTCCTCTAATTCTTGAATCCGTTATTTCAGGCTGTTAAAACTAGAGTGAAATTTCCACTTCAGAGCAGTTGGGTCAAAAAGCTGGAAGCTAGTAAGTGTTCACAATGGTTTAATTGAGTCCTAAATGCAGCTTACCCTTCACTATACAGTACAAGGAAATCAAGTCTAAAATGAAGGTTCAGATCTGCACGGCCAGAATGTCAAGTCCAGTAGCAACCTTTTTCTCCTCACAGACCCTTTCCCCACTGCTGAGCTGAAGGGCTATCCACTCATTAAGTAGGCAGAAAACACTACCCACATAACATTTACTGTTCCTATTGCCAATCCCCATCTGCTGCTGCTTCAAATCACTTTAAGTCACCTGACCTCCCTCCAAAATAAAGGTGACAAAGCCTAACATATGTGGTGAACCTTGAGGCTGCCCTTGGACAGAGTTGGAAGAAGGAGAAAAATATTAATCTGATACAGCCAAGGATGAATTAAGGCTGTCTCGTTTATGGGCTGTGAACAAGATGAAGGCCATGTTATGAGGAAACAGAAAAAAAGATGTTGCCAAGGCATTTTTATGCTGTGGTTAGTGCAAGTGGGGAAGATCCTTAGACTTGTCTCTGTGACAAGGCAGTTCTTTCATTTATTAATTTTTACATAGTAATTTTAGCCAGGCAAGCTGAATCTTTTTTAGCTCTTCCTTTAATTCCTGGTTCCTCAACTGAAACCACATTCAGTATGGCTGTGATAAGAGCCCCACTTCACCAGACAGAGCCATTCCCAACATTTGGACACAGGCAGCTACATTAGTTTGTTACAACAAAAGCAATAAAGAGCCTCTTTGGCATCGCAAAGGTTAACATAGTTGTGAAATAGAAGTCACTTTATCTACGTACTGTATGTACCTACTGCTGCTGCAGTAGGGAACTTGCTGGTCCCTTCCAGCCCTTTCAGGAATAGCTTATAACCAAATGGTTTGGGCATGATTTGTTTGCATGATCATTAATATTTTGAGCTATGTCTCATTTTATTCTGTCTGGATCAGTGGGAGGAGGTGACAGAAAGAACTAAGAGAGATTTACAGTTTACCATTGCACGGTACAAATAAAGTGGAGGATTTGCAAAGCTGTAAAACCTGTTGGACCATGGAGAAGGGGGTGGGGATCATAGGGTTCACATAACAGAAAGATCACCATACAGGAGGGAAAAAGCATTTAGTGATATCTTGATCTTTGAAGAATCCCACAACACAGAAAAACTGGATTTTTAAGTACAGGAGAAACTGAGACAAAGAAGTTTTAAGCATGGGTTTGGAGATGTATCATGTGGATGGCATGCAAACTGGAGTTCACAAGTGGCTACCACTGAGATTTCTTTCCCCCTTTGCCTTCCAGTTTCAAAGCAACATCTTTTTTACTTCTTCAGGTCCTATTCATTTAGAAGGTATCTCCCCTGTACCAATCGCTGCAGTAATATGTACCCAAGCTGTTATTCACTATCATAGCTTAGAGGGTCTGTTAAATGCAGTACAGGTAGTCCTCGACTTACGACCATTTAACAACTGTTTGAAGTTACGACAGCGCTGAAAAAAGTGATTTACGACCGATCCTTGCACTTATGATTGTCGCAGCATCCCCACAGTCATGTGATCAAAATTCAGGTGCTTGGCAATTGGCATGTATTTACGATGGTTACAGCATCCCAGGATCACATGATTACCATTTGGGACCTTCCCAGGGGACTTCCAACAAGCAAAGTAAATAGGGGTTGCTGGATTCGCTTAATGACCATGTGATTCACTTAACAACCGCAGTGATTTGCTTAACGACTGTGGCAAAAAGTTCTTAAAATCGGGCACAACTCACTGCATCAGCAACGGAAGTTCTGGTCCCAATTGTGGTCATAATTCAAAAACTACCTGTAACGGTATCTGAGAAGCTTTGCTGCTTCCCCTCTTGGTAATGGTAACTTTTGTTGCTATTTTTACAATCAACCAAACAAATGCACACAACCTGAACAAAAAGCATGATGGGACAGGTATATGGCAATTTATTCTCTTTCCATTTTGTGCGGAGTTGGGTGTTTGTTTGTTTTTTGTTACTTTGGAACCTGCAGTCATTCTGTCAAGGTATCAATAGTAAAACATTTTTTGAAGGCTCCTACTGATGCAGGACAGAGCACTGGCTGGCTGTGGTGTTCTCTGCTTATTCTCTGTGTTTTGAAGTCAGCAGAAATGAAGATGACCAAAGGTCAGCTCTGAACTACTTTGGACAGACTTAGGAGTCAGGAAGGCAAGACATGTTCTTAAAAATTCCTCAAGAGAGCTTTTTAAAACAACTATAGCATCTCCCTATCTTAGAGATATGATGTAAGGTTATAATGTAGAGTTATAGAATTCTATTACATTTCTTAGTATCTCCTTTGATACAGAGTAAGGTAGAATTATTTTCACTATTGGAATTAAAGCTTTGCCTTCCCTTTTAAATATTGTTACAACCTAGGGCCCTCCAAATGCTTTATATAAATGTTAATATCACCAACCAGCAGCATAGCAAAAGACACCAGGTTGTGTTACAGGATCTTTAAAAAATATCTGCTTATCCAAAGGTTAAGTTTTGGAAAGAGAAGACACATCCAAGAGTGCTTCTCTCACATACTTTGTAGGTACACACAGTACACATTTGCAAAGCTCCCTTCAAAATTAGTATAAATGCCTTTGCTTCTTCTTAATCCCAAGGGGTAGCCATCTTTAAAATAAGACTGTATAACAATTTGCTTATGTTTAAACTGAATATATAAAAAGAGAAAGATCAAAAATAAAGCATATTATACCACAAACTTTTTAAAACAATGGCCTGCTTCAACAGTTGAACAAAACACCATCTCATTTGGCAGAGATGCCTGGAGCAAAAGAAAAAAATAATGTCAGTGTGCATGTCGAAGAATGGGAAGGAAATGCAGGGTATGTAACCACACAATTCTTATGCAAAACAAGAGCAGCAGTTACTGTGAATTTGTGGATGAGGCATTCCCTTATGGCCTTGCAAGACGCCCACTAGGTAACAAACGACGATTTCTGAACGGCATTACAAATATCATCTCCACAGGTCTGGTTTTTTTAAATTTTTTATTTTGACAGGGTGACCCCCCTGGAAGTCTGAACGCGAACTACAAGAGAAGCTCTTTTAGATCCTCACTAAGACTTCAACAGCCGAAGGGGCAGATACAGAAAAAGACCTTTACTCATCGGACTCTAAAGCGATCCCACAAGGGGGTGTCCCCTATTTTCAGTTCTTCGCCCCGCCTTCCCTCAGCAGATCCCTCGGGCGAACTGACCACACGGATGTACTCTGCACTTGAAACCTACCTCTACCACCGCGTCGCAAGCCCAGCCCTTCTTTCCACCACGGGTCTCAACACTCACGTGGAGCGCTCAAAACTCCCCCTACCGCTGCTCAAAAAGCCCCGCCTTTCAGCCGTTGGCCATCTCTTATTGGCTGCTGCGAGCGGTTACCATTCCAGCGGCGGGCGGGCTCCTTTGTGACGCCACAATCAGCTGTTTGAACGTTCCAATTTCTGAGCCAAGATCAACTGGGGATTCAGCAATAACAGAAAAATAATAATACGAAAACTACAGTTGGGGAGGGAGAGCGTCCGGATGCAAGGGCACCTGCATGCATTTTGCAGTATTGCATATCTTCTGGGAAGATCAGAGACACAATTGACATTACCACCGCAACCATCTCCTTTCCTTGCATCTGTTTAATTTTTTTGGTGGGGTGTCTTTTTAAAAAACAACAACAACCACCACCATCAGTTCTATTATGAATCTTAGTTGATTTCAATTAAAACTACCTCACAGACTTCGCCTAAAGCTGGTGCTTTAAAAAAACTTGTAGGGTTTTTTTTTGTGTGTGTGTATGTGCTTGTGGCGTGGTTTACAAAACAGTTGGTGACATTAAAAGGCAAGTGAAGGTAAGTGATGCTCTTCCTCTCTCCGACAGTTTATTTTTAAACTTGAGGACCCTGTCTTTGGGAGAAGGAAAACACCGCCTGCGATAGATATATAGATGTTGCTCTTGTCTTTGTTTCTTTGTTTTCTATTTGGTTCATTATATTTTCTTTTTCGCAGTAGCATATGGCATTCAGTTCTGATACCGATTTCCTTTCTGGGGTGACATTTTTAATTCTCCTTTGTATTTGACAGTACATCTGTGTGCCTTCGTGCTTCACTGTAGATTTCTTGGTATGTTGTTATGGACGCGTTGTGGTTTCATCTTCTGGTTGGCAGAGAAAGAGCAGGTAGCCTTATTTGGCGATTGGAGAACAGATCAAGATCTTTGTTCTGAGTTAGAAACCAGACTGGGTTGGCTTCACTCGGGTATGGCTCGGGGGGGGGGGGGGGCGGTTGGGAGTATCTTGTTTACTTTAAACCACTTGCGGATGAAAACTGATGTCTCTGCGTGTGTGTATCGTATTAGTGTAAGGCTTTTGAGATGAGAACATCCCAGTTTTAAAAACAGGTGCTCTAATAAACCGCTTCATACCCGTTCATAACGAATATTGTTATTTCATTTGGGAAAGGGGTCGGTATTAAACAAAAGCTGTCGAGAAAAATGTCAGAAAGAGCCCGGGGCTTGACTCGTTGACTGGCCTCCTTGGCTAATGGTGCAAAAAGAGCCTTTTGTCTTGACTTTCTTTGGGAACCAGCAGGAAGACAAGCAGCCAACCCGCAGAAACGAGTAAAATTCAGGGAGAGGCGAAGGAGGGATGCGGAGAGGAGGAAGGGAAGGCGAAAACATCCTCTGCCTTGTTTGTGCGGAGACTCGCTTCTCCCTCTCATTGAGGTCATAGCAGGCGCTGGCGGATTGGAAAAGGTTCCTCATAATTAGCTGCAGATCAGAGCGGAGGCTTTTCGTTCAATGGTAGCCTTGAGCGCCAGGCAGGCAGCTCTGCCAGGGAGGGCTTATGCGCTGCAATCCGGCCGGCTCGCTCTCGCTACGTGTGGATGTGGGATGGGTTCCTAAAGCTAATGCCGAGCTCGATGCACCGCGGCTGTTGGCCCGGTTGCTCTGTCTGTCCCTTCCGTTTGTTTTGCTTCGCTGGCGGTTTGACCCTCTGTGGATCTGGACAAGGGGACTGACCGGACCGCCTCTGGGTTTAGAAGTACTGTACAGTAAAAGCCAGGTCCAGGCGTGTCCTTGGATGGACTCGGGTGAGGCGGAGAGCCGGGAAGAAAGGAATCTGCAACTCCTCCTTTATCTGAACCCTGGCAAGTAGCGTCGGGTAAGACCAGGAAGGGCCTTGCGTTTTTTTAAAGGACTTAGAGTTGAGTGACACCAGCTTCTGAATTAAAGCTCGTTACGTCAGATACAATAAAGCAGAATGGGTGTCTTTTCTCTTTAAGAAGGAAAGGGTGGGAGGGGGAGCAATCATGTTAAATGACAATTTTCTAGATCCGATTCCGAAGGGAAAAAAAGCAAGTGCCGTTTCGTTAATGTCACTGTGACTTCTCTTCTGCACATCCCCGTTGTCTTCGCCTGCTGCCTCCTTTGTTATTCGTTTCTTCGTCAACGGATTAAGATTAAAAACTGGTTTCTGTTGCCATTGGCTGCCCGGGACTGAAAGCCTGCGATGACGTTATCATAATTTGCATATGACTTTGTGACGTCACCAAGGCCAGCCTTTCCAATCTCCCCCCTCCCTCTCCCCACCTACGCATACTGAAGCTGTCCTCTTTTGACCTGGTGGTTGGGCTGTCACGTTTGGGAGCGCTGGAGCTGGGCTCGGGCCTTTGAGAATTTGACGGCAAAGGCCTGCGGGGAGCAATGCCACCTTTTTATTTTGGTACTGGTGAAAAAGAAGGTTTGGCAGTAGCATCAAGTAAAACACAAGGGAAGGGCTGAGGAGGATTGAACCAAGATCCACTTACCTTCATTACAGAGCTGTGTAGAGTAGTTCAGATTTCAGTCCATATTTTAACAAGCATAATTTAATGGTAGTAGCTGGTGAGTCAAATCTTAGATGCACTGCTAAAATGGGATGGGTAAATGTGGGATTTTCAGGAAGCTAAGGGGAGGGGGGTGCGGGTGTGGAGGGGTTCAGGCATTGGCAGTTCAAATTTCGATATAATTAATCATGGCTGTTTGAAAATGTGACATTGCCACAATTAATATTAAGGTGCAAATTATGTTACTGTGTGCCATATTTGTACCCCTCCATCTTAGCTGAGAACAGATTTTTTTTAATAATGTTGCTTATCCATGACAAATCGTGCTGAATGCGTAATTTTAAATGTATATACACATTCTTTTATATACACATTCTTTACAAAATTATGCACCATAACCTGCTCTGAATAAGAACATTACTTATGTTCTATTATTTGGCATGATACTTTTTAGAATGGAAAAAGATATGACTCTAAAATCATCCTATCCCACTGAACATCTTATTCAGCAGCCCTTCCAGTTTCTGAGATTTCCATGGGTGTTTCCTAACCACATACGACCACCATCCCGGGGCATTCCGATAATTTTTACTTGCATTATTTGTTAAATAATCAAGATAAATTTATTTCTT